ATTCTATCCTTGGATTAGCACCAAATTTAAATTTTTCAGTGTCATAATATTCTTTATTACATTCTAAACATCTTCCATCATCAGAACATCCAGTACATCCTTCAGGACAATTAATTTCAGTATCTAGAACTCTAGTAGCGATTTCTAAGCATTATTTACTTTCTTAATCTTGTTAATAACCATCTTAACATTATAAACATTCCCCAGATTGATTACATTATATACATCCATAAGTACACCCATTTTAAGTTTTTAAAAAATTGGTCAAAGCACCAAATATTAAAATATTTATAAGAATTAGAATTTAAAACATTATATTTTTTTATATATATTTTTATTAACTTTTTAAATATTTTTTAAGAAATAAATAATTATATTTATATATATGCATAAAAATATTTATATGTAATATTTTCTTTTATTTATATTTTCTATAAAATTATTATTTAAATAAGATATATATATTCTAATGAAATTAATAATGAAATTTTTTGTAGTATTTATTTATTTATTTTTGACTTTATATTTCATAAATTAATATTAATGGAAAAGTATCACTTATTTTAATTAAAATATATTAATATTTATAAATTTATTCCTTTTTTTAAAAAAAATGAATAATATTCACTTATTTTAATAATAAAAATAAAATTAAAATATAAATTTATATTAATTTATTTATTAATTTATGTATTAACTATATCTTATTTATTTAATATAATATACATAAAAAAAAATTTAAAAAAAAATTATTTTTATTTTTAATTTGATAGTTTTAGAAAAGATTAAAATAATTATATTATAAAATTTATAATTTATATAAAATTAAAACTTGTCTGTATTTTCAAAAATAAATTAATTATTAACAAATAACTTATAATTTTTTTTTTTTTTTTTGCAAATAATAATATAATATATTATAATTATTCATATATTTTTTTCTAATTTTTGAAAATATGTATATCTGAATTTATATAAAAAAAAAAATATTAAAAATAAAATAAAATAAAATTAATATTTAAATAAGTTTAATTTTTAATAAATTTTTAATTAATTAATTATAAAAAACTTATATATAAAAAAAAAAATTCTAAAAATATTTATATTTATTTTTCTATTTTTATCTTTTATGTGATACTTTTTATTAATTTTAGATTTAATTTGTATCTATTAATTATATAATAATATTCAATTCTTTAAATATTTTAAATATTCCTTAAATTGATATAAAAGAACTATTATTAAGATATCATTATTTTATATTAAATGTTATATAAATAAATGATTTATTTAATAATATAAACAAAAAATATAAACTTAAATAACAAATTCATTATTTTATTTTTAATAATAATATTAAAATTTTATAAAATAAAAAAATTAGTAAATGCATTAATATAAAATAAAGTTAAAGAAATTTTAAAAAAATAAAATAAAATACAAAAATATATATAATTATATTTATATTTATATTTATATTTATATTTATAATATATGATTATATTATTTATTATTATTTAATTTAAAAATAATATATAATATTTTTCTCTAAATAAATAAAAAATGGTTTATACTATTAGTAAATAATTAATACTTAAATAATTTATTTATTTATACATAAAAATACTATTAAAATTATATTTTATTATATCTTTTTGATATAAAAAAAAAAATTATTAATATAAATATAATAAATAAAAACAATATATAAAATATAAAAAATTTAGATTTATTTAAATATTATAATATATATGATATTTAATATTAATATATAATAATATAAAATATTAATAAATATAATAAATAATTATATTAATTCTTAATTAATTTAAACGAAATTATTAAGAATAATTAAAATATTTAATTATATTTAGTTTAATATTATTTTTTTATAAATTATTTTTAGTTAATTAATTTCATAAAATTAATTAACTATTTTTTTATTTAATTATAAATAAAAAAATTTTAAATTATGAATTTAAAATAAAAATTAATATTATATATTATATTTAGTTTTAAAATATTTAATCATTAAAATTAAATTTTTTGTATTTATGAAAATAAAATAAATAAAAATTATATTTATATCATCAAAAAATTAATTACTTAAGAGTATCGTAAATATATTAAGAATATATTAAAAATTAATAAATCTAGTTTAAAAAATTTTTAATAAATTATATTTTTTAAAAACTTTATATATTTCTCATTAAAAAATTAATTTCTTTTCGTATTATTTAATTAAATTTTAAATATAAATAAAAATAAATTTATTATTAAATAAAAAAATATATTTTATATCCGATTAATTATAATAATATTTATTTTATTAAGATAAAATATTATAAATAGTGTAATAATAATAATAATAAAAAAAAAAAATTAGTAAATATTTGAAACTTAATAATTGTTTTATCATAAAAAATTAAAAATAAAATATTTTATATAAAATTAATCATGAAATAATGCATAATTTTTAAAATGTAGATACATATATTAATTAATATGATAACATAATTAACAATTATAATTTTAAATATAAGATATTTGTTTTATATATTTTTAAATAAAAAAAATAATTTATTAAATTAAAATATTAGTATATTTATAAATGATAATATAAATAAATAAATCTTAAAATAAAGCTATACACAGATATTAATATGTACACTAAATTTTATAAAAACTTATTTGATTAAAAGAAAAAAAAGAAAAATAAAAAAGAATAAATATTAAAATTAAAATATTAAATAATAATTATATTTATATAAGAAAAAAATATTAAAATATTTATTTAAAAAAAAATTATAAACATTTATATAAATATTTTAATTAATAAAATTAATTTATATTATATATTTATAAGATACAAAAAATATATATATATATATATAAAACATAGAAATTAAATAAATATATATATATATTAATATTTTTTTATTTAAATTTTTACACATAATGTAAACAGATTTTATTTGAATTATTATTAATTTATTTATTGAAAATATATAAGTTTTAATTCTTTTATATTTAATTCATTATTATAATTAATAAAAATAAGATAGAATTTTTTTTTATAACTAAATTAAAATAAATAAAAAATATTAAAATATATAAAGTATAAATATATTTAAAAATATATTGAAAATAAAGAAAATTAAAAAATATTAAAAATGATATATATATAAGATTTTATAAATAAATATAAAATAATTAAAAATAATAATAATAATAATATATATAAAATAAATAAATAATAATAATGAAAATATATATTAAATAAAATAAAAAATTAAGATATATTTAATAAAAATAAAAATGTTAATAAATTTCAACTAATAATATTAAATATATAAAGAATTAATAATTTATAAAATAATAATAAATTTTAAATGTTTTATTATAGTTAAATAATTTAATATATAGTAATCATTTATTTATTTTTTTAAAAAAACATTATTAAATTATCATTAAAAGATTTTTTAATAATTTATATTATTTTAAATATGTAATATTTTTCAATTATTTAAATTATTAATAATGCAATATATACAAACTATTTTCTAAATAGATAGGAAGTAAAACTTGAAAAAACTAGATAAAGTAAATATTAAAAATTATAATTATTTAATAATATATCAAATAAAATAATAATTTTTTGTAAATTATTTTAATTTAATCTAAAAATGAAACTTTTATAAATATACTTTTTATATTTAAATAAAGAAATATATTTAAAAATTTATTTTAATTCATAATATATTAATATAATAATAATTAATAAATTGATATATATTTTCTTAAATATCTAAATTCAGATTATTTTAATATGACTACAGATTTTAATTTTGATAAAAAAAAGAACAAACTCCTATATAAAGCATATAGTTTGTAATTAATATATATATTTAATTAGCAATTTTTATATATAAAAAAAATCTAATAAAAAATATAAAATTTGCATATTTAATCAATTTCCATAATATAATGATTAAATATTAGAGAACAAAAAATTAAGATATTATATTAAAATAATTAACTTATTTTAATGAATTAAAATTTTAAAATAATAATTAAATAACTAATTTTAATAAAAAGAAAATATATAATTAAAATAAAATAAAAAGAAAATATTATTTAAAAAGTTTAAATGGATAAATATATAACGAAAAAATTATAGATAATTTTAATTAAAAAAAAAAAAAAGCAAATTCGGTATTTAAAACATAAATATTATAAAAAATAAAAAAAAGAAAAAAAAATTTTATAAAAATAAAAAGAAAAACATAATATTTTAAAAATATGTATAAAAATAAATTTAAATTAAGAATTCAGTAAGATAAAATTAAAAATATATTATATTTAAATTTAAATTTAAATTTAATTTATAAAAATAACACTATATACTTAAAATAATATGTATTACTAATTAATAATATTTAGATTAATTTATATTAGTATAAATAAACATATTAATAAAATTATTAAAATTTTAAAAAAAATTATAAGTAAGAAAATTTAAAAAAAAATAAAAAATTAAAATATTTATAAATAAAAAAATTAATAATATTTAAACTTAATATATAAATAAAAATTAAATTGAAAAGTTTAAGAATTATTAAAAATAGAAAACATATAAATAAATTTAATGTAAAAAAAATTATTAATAAAATTAATAATAAAATATTTAAAATTATAAATTCAAAATAAAATAATAATAATAATAATAATAATAATAATAATAATAAAAAAAAAAAAAAAAAAATAATAAAAATAATAAAAAAAACTAAAAGAACTAAAATAATAGAAATTAAAATAATAATATTCATTTAAATAATTAAAAATAATGCTTTTAATTAAAATATTTATATGCACAATTAATTTAATTAATAAATTTTTAAATTTTTATTTTAATAATTTTAAATTTTATTTAAATATTTTGATTTTTTTTTTTAAATTTAATATATAAATAAAAATATTTTAATTATTTAATTTTTAATGATTAATTTTCAAGATATAATAAAATAAAATATATTGAAAACCAATATATATTTTTTAATTGTATTTATAAATATTTAGAAATATTAATTAATCTTTATATTAATGCAACTGTATAATTATTATTAATTTCCTTAAAGTCTAAAATAAAATCTATCATTATTAATCTATCATTATGCATTAATTTTTTTCTACATCAAGATTATGATACTTCATACATTTTGTGCATACATTAGTATAATCATTACATTCTAGACAACATTAAACTTTAGTGCAAGTTTTTTTACATATCGAATATGTATAATCATATTAAGTATTTACAACTTTTTCTATATGATAACCATCATTGCATTCACTACACATTCCTGCAAAATTACATTTATCACATCCCTCGTCGCATTTATATTAAGATGGATCTATGTTTGTTTACATACATTATTATTTATAGCCAATATATTCATAGTTTCAATACATTTTATGCATTTTTGTGAATCACATTAAATACAGTCATTGTATCCATATTAACAGCTATTACATTCTTTCTTTGGATTAGGATCATTTTATATATTTCAGTATCATAATAACCATCTTTACATTCTTAACATAATCCATCTTCAGAACATTAAGCACATCTTTCATCTTCAGAACAGCTTTTTACATTATATAGAACTCTAGTAGCGATTTCTAAGCATTATTAACTTTCTTAATCTAAATAGTAACTGTCTTAACATTATAAACATTCCCCAGATTAATTACATTACATGCATCCTTAAGAGCAACGATCTTAAGTTTTTAAAAAATTAGATAAAACACTAAAAATAAAGAAATTTATAAGAATTAGTTTTTAATACATTATATTTTTTTTTATATTTTTTAATTGATTTTATTAATATTTTTTTAATTAAATAATTATTTATATTTATATATTTAAATAAAATATTTAATGTAATATTTATTGTATTTTAATTTATATAGATATTAAATATAGATTATTTTTAATATAATAATAATGAAATTATTTGTAGTATTTATTTGACTCTTTGTTTCATAAATTAATATTTATATAATAGTAAAAAAAAATTAATATTTTAATTTTAATGTTTTAATATTTATATATTTTTTCTTTTTTAAAAAAATAATATATTTAATTATAAATTAATACAAAAATAAAATTAATATATCCGTTTTTATTATTAAAAAAAAATAATTAAAAATATACTATATATTATTTATTAAATTAAAATACTTATAAAATAATAATATTAAAATATAAATTTATATTTATTTTTTAATGATTTAGAAAACATTAAAAATAATAACATTATAATATTTTTAATTTATTAAAATTCAAAGCTTGTGATTTTAAAAATATTCATATAATAACAAATATAAATGACCATAATTTAATAATTTATTGTTGTATTTTTTCAAATTAATATAATTAATTTATATATTATTATTTTTATTAATTATTATATCTTTAAAAATATGTAATAATTTTGACTTATAAATATTATAAATGTATTAAAAACTAAAATTAATAATTATCTAAGTTAAATTTTATTTTTAATAAATTAAATAGGGTTAATATAATAATCTATATAAATTACAGAAAATTACACTATATAAAAATATTTATATTTATTTCTATAATTATTTATATATAAATATATTTATAATACTATTTTATTAATTTTATATCTATTATTAATATAATAATCTTTTTTTTTATTAATAATTTAAATAATTTTTATATGTATTTAATAAGAAATTATTTATAATTAAAAAAAAAATATTATATTAATATTAAATATTTTAAAAGAAAAATTATTTATAATATATTAAATATTTTAAATTAACTAAAATGTTCATTTTTTTTTTAGATAATATTAATATTATTTATAAAAAATTAAGATTTATACATATATTACTATAAATTTAAGATGCTTTTTAAAAAACTAAAAAAATAAATATATATTTGTATATATATATTTAATTTAGATTTCATCAAATATTAAAATCTGAGAGAAAATATAATAGTAATATTTAACCCGAACATTAATTTTATTTTTTAAAAAAAACTATTAAAATATATGCTATTTTTTGAGAAATACTATATTTAAATTTTTTTATTCATCTACTTTTATATATAAATAATTTTATTATTTTATATTTGATTTTAATCAATTTAATAGTACTTTTATAATAAAAAAATGAAGAATAATAAATAAAAATAAATCAAAAAAATATGGTAAAAATATAACAATTTTCTTTTAATAATAAAATTTGTCTCTAAAGTTATTAAAATAATTAAGCATATAAATTTAGTTTTTTAATGATTTTTTAAGTAGAAAAATTGAAATATAATATAAGATAAATTAATATAAATTTTATAAAAGAATAATAAATTAATTTCTTATAAAAATGAAAATTAAAAATATTATATGTATAATATAAATTTTTTTTTTAAATATATATATAATTTATAAGAATATTAATTAATTTTTTTATATATATTTTTCTATTTATTTTAATATAATTATATAAATACTACAACTATTATTATAAAAAAATAAGATATTTATTTATGTAATAATTATTTAGAAGTATTTATATTATTATAAAATAATTGTAAAAATAACTTTAATTAAAAAATATATCTCATATAATGATTTCTTAAATAAAATATAATAAATATATTAATTTTCTTTTTATTTTATTCAAAAATTTATTAATAATTTTTACCATATAAAAATATGTATTTAAATATAAAATAAAAATATTTAATAATAATAAATAAATTTATATAAAATAAATTAGTATCTATATTAATTTAAAAAAAAATATCTATATTTTATAAACTCTAATTTAAATAGTAATTATTTAAAAAATATAATGCTAATAATTGAAAATATAGAAAATATGAACAAATATAATTATTATATCATTTAAAACTTTACAAAATTTTATATTGTTTAAAATCTTATATGTAAATAATTAAATAATATAATAAAAATATTTATATTTAAAAAAAATAAACAAAAATTATTAACATATTTTATATAAAGACAAAAAAAATATAAGATAATTTATAAAAAAAAATGTTAAAATAAAAAAATTGCTATCTTTTATGAAATAAAAAAATCAATCAGAAATAATATAAAAAAACTTGAAAATAAAAACTAGTATAATAAAAATATATTAAATGATTTATAAAAATAAAAACTAAACTAGTTTTGCTAGATTTTAAAAAAATTA